ACCAGGGAGATTAAAATCATCTTTGGCAGGTCGCACACAGGTGCATGAGTACTTAGGTACTCTATATAGGTAACCGGATGAGTCATATTCCAGTAATAAGATGTAATATAAAAATCTTTTGAATTATCATATGATCAATAAAAGCAGGGCATGTGGCATGATCGTCAAAAAAAAAAAATGCCTGCCTGCATATTAATTAATTGACTTGCACATTATTTTGAGTATGTCTATGTGCGTTATTTTGAAATAAGTGTTGATTTTTCAAATCTAATATTTTTTAAAATAATATGCATGTGTGCCTTATATGTAGTACTACCTAACTTACTAATAGTGTTTCAAAAAACCTGATTAAATTTTTATTGTGCTAAGCTCAGTAGATTCTTATTGTATATATGTATATACTTGTTTTATCAGTTAGGGTGCTGATATTTATTAGGTAATATTTTAGGGGTAGGGGTCAAGCAAAACCTTACCTTATATAAAACACCTATAGCTAATCAAATTTGGCTAAATATCTTACCTGGGAGTAGGGGTAAGCCTCTATAGTAAATAGATATTAGGTAATAAATGTTAGAGCTCTTATACAATTCATCTAATTAATAAAACAAAGCTTTAAATGATTTTTGGTTTGGAATATAAATAAACTTTGATTAAAAAAGCAAGTGATTCTAATTTTTTTTTTGATTTGCCGGGGTTTTTTGGACTTTTTTTTTTATTTTTTTTTTATTTTATTTTCTCTACAGTTCTTTGAATTACAAAGTTTATTATGAACACAGAGCACTATAAATAATTCTAATCTTTTCTTATCGATTAAAAAAATATATACTTTCTTAATAGCATCAATTTATATATTTCTTTTCAGTTTTAAGATAAAGTAAAAGTAATTCTGGTTGGACTATTTGTAGTTTAAGACTCTTTTGCTACAAAATTACTCTTCATTAGCTTTAAAACCATTTTATATGACTTCAACAGCTTATTGGTTAATTTTTTTTTTTTTTTAGATCTTTTTTAATCTTTTTTTTTTTATAATTTTTTTTCTTGATCTTTATATATCACGAAACTGCCATTAAAATAATGGCTCTAGTACTATGTTATGAAACTACTATTAAATAATTTACTTCTAGTACTATTTAAATAAATTGTGATCTTTTTTTTTTGCTTCGCATCTAAATTTTACCTGCAAACATGCTGACTAAAAAAAGCTATACTATTTTGTTTAAGCTTAATATAGTATCATATGCTGAAGAAACTTCTAACTATAAGGCATCCTTGTTTTACCAAGTTGATTGAAAACATGTTCAAGAATAGAGAAAGCAAAAAGAAAAACTTGAGGCTATAAAAAATGATCAAAGTTCATGTGCTAATAAGGTGCGAACTCTTTCTGGTTGTAGTCAAAAAGCCATGTATTTCATAGTTGAAGAAGAATTAGTAAATTATATTTAAAAAAAGCAAGAAGAAAGAATGCCGGTTACTACTTTTATAATTAGAAAAAAGGTGAGAGAATTAGTGATGATATTAAATATTCAAGATGCAAAGTTTTCTGCTAGTTGGGTTAAATATTTTATGCAATAAAATAAATTAGTAGAACATGTTTGGACACAACATGCACAAAAAGTTCCAGAAAATATACTCTTAGTTGTTAGAGAGTTTTTTCAAACTTTATGTGAAAAAACAAAGGACATTGAAAAAAAATTTATTATTTTTTTTAATGAAACACCAATGTGGTTTGACATGCCCCAAAATACAACAATCGATTTAAATTACCTATGTTTAATTTGCTATAGTAAAGGTTATCTCTATATCAAAAAACTCTGCAACTGAATTCTTCAATACATTACTAAATGGTATTTATGACCTATCAAGATTGCCCCCTTTCCTAATCTTCTTCTTCTAGTTTTCTGAGCAGAAGGATTTATAGTTTCCAACTAATTTATAAAAAAAAACTAATACTAAAAAAAAAAGATAAAAGGAACAACACGAAAGATAAGAAGAAAAAACTATCTAAGCAACAAGAAAATGAAAAAAAAACAAATAAAAGAAGAAAAAAAAGGCAGAAAAAAAATCAATTTATAAAAGCACTATTATAGCCCATGCTAGATACAGTTGTAAAAATTATATATCTAATTAAATTTAAACAAACCTAATTTTTAAATTCTTGTATATTTCTGTTGTAAAACTAAGTCTTATTGTTAAACTTTCTTCTAACTATCATATTTGATTTGGGTTAGTTCATTACCCAGAACACCAATTGGTTTATCATGTGGTGTAGATCATTATTGTCAAAACAATCCTATATTTATGTTCATCTTCATTTGTCTAAAAATAGAAAGTTAAACAATGCCGATCTTTTGGAAGGGATAAGCTAAGTCATCCACTTTTTTTGTTGAAAATTTTGGTGAAGTTGGCAAAATATGAGAAAAAGAAAAAACACTTGAAAACACTAAAAGAGTATAAGTTTTCTTTTACTAGAATTAGCTATATACCAGGATCTCAAATAATATATATAAAGGTTATATTGGCTTTAATATAAAATTTTTATAAATTTATCAACTTTATATTAAGGTTTATTAAACAAAATTTAAATATAAGTATTAAAAATTAGAATTTTTTAACCAAAATTTAAATATAACCTATTTAATTTTTTAAAAAATATAATTATATAATAATATATATATATATTTGAATTTTTGAGTTTTTATTAATATTATTTGGCCAACCAATTACAAATATATTAGTTAGTATAAAATTTGTAAATATATAATATAAAATTGTAATAACAAATAAAAATTAAATTGCTCAAAATTTATTATATTTATTAATAAAGTTGTAAAAAAAAACAAAAATTATAAAATTTTTTGCAATCTTTGTTTTATTTGAGAAGTATTAAAATAATCAAACAATTCTGATGTTGGATCATTTACAGTTAATAACCTAATTTTTTATCAAATAATGTAAAATTATCTTCTTCAAGATAATAGATAAAAGAAGAAGATAAAATATGTGTAAAAATTGTATACCCACTATCTGAAATTGATGAAAATAAACCATAACAAAGTTGAAAAAAAACTTTAACTGAAATATACAAAAGTTCATCAATATTTGTATATAATTCAATAAAAGAATGATAATTTGAATTCTTATAATAAAGTGCAAGAATTTTAAAAAAGAAAGATAGTATTATTAACCCATCCAATTTCAAATCCTTTTCGCATAGCTAGATATACTGGATTTATATTTGCAGTTGAAATTTCTACTAACCCTATAATAAAAATAAAAATAAAAAGGTATAAAAGATTAGAGTTCAAATAAAAAGAATTTAATTATATTGTTAAAACAAACAATTGAATATCAAAATCTAATTATATAATATATACTTAGTGATAGGAATTTCTAATTGTTAACTATATAAATCATGTTAACAATTTAATTGTTAAAATGATTTATATAAATAATTTTAACAATTTAATTGTTAACATGATTTATATCATTAACAATTAGAAATTCCCATCACTATATGCACTTGAACTAGAAATATGATTTGGATATATGCTAATTTAATTTTATAACAACTGAATATCCATTAAATTTTAAATAGAAAAACAGATAACAGATTGCATTTCTAACTTGAGTAGTTAAAAGTAAAAGTGAAAAATTTTATTACATAAGAATGACTTTTATCTCTGTAGTAAAAATTCAAAACCACATTGCTACAAAATTACTTTTAGTAAATTTTAAATACCACTCAAGACTTTTTATAATAATAATGTCTACTAAAACCACCATTTTCAATGATTTTAAAAAAAATTTAACAGGTTTTACTTTTAACTGCCTATTTACTTGATAATTCAGAGTTTGTAAATTAAAATTAACTTACTAACTAAAACTTTTTGTTTCATTATTCAGCTATTCAAGTCTTGCTTTCATTTTTCAGCAATTTTGACATGGAATACCAGAGCAAGCAGACTTATTTGAAGAGAGATATAATACAAGACTACTGTATCTATTACTTGGAGCAAATATAGAATATCTCACAACTCTTCTTTTCATTCTTTGACTAGTATAAACTTTGTAGCAACGATGTTGGTTAACTAATTCAGAAATTTTAAACATTCTATTTACAACTCCGATATTAACATCAATATTCATTTCCATATTAAGGTTCTGAGATTGTTGAGTAGAATCTAATATCAAAGCTAATTGCAAACTTCCCTTAAAAAAATCATTACCTTTCTTAATCTATGAAAAATAAATGTGATTAAAGAGAAAAAAAAAAAAATATCAAAGAGTTTCAGAACTAAAACAATAATCTAATTTCGAATTTTTTTTTTAATTTCATTAATTTATTGTATAAGCTCTACTTATTATACAAAGTATGCTGCTTTTGTTAATTTTTATTAAACACAAATTATATAATGTCCCTTACTTTGGTTAATGTATTAAGTTTATTCCATGTATTAACTTTTGTAATAGCAATAGATATAAAAATACTTTTGGTCTCTTGTAAATTATTAACACTTTGTAGGGTAGAAGGTTGCTTAATCTCATTTTTCACTTTAGGATTCTTCTCTTCGTCTTCTAAAATAGTCATAAAGCTATAAATTTGAGTATTTATTATCATTCCAAAAACATCTTTCACTAGTGCAGTAGCTTGTTCATAAGCATAATAAATTGCTAATCTAATTTCATTGTCTGAAAGCCAATTCCATAAGACTTCTAAGTTTTCTATAATGCTCAAATCTGAATAATGCGAAATATAGTCTAAAAAGATAAGATAACTTCGTAATTATAATTTTATAATAAATTACACCTATATATACTAACCAACACTAGTCGTTTTTTCTTTTTTTAATTGGAGAGAACCTGACAAATATGCCTTGTATATACATGCAATCTTGGGTGTCAATGCAACTAAATCATTAAATGAAAAGTCAAAAATAATTTGACAAGCCAACCCAAAAAAATGTTCATGTTCTTCTAAACTATACATCCATAGTGTAAAAGGATATTGCGAGCAGTAATCTCAGTAATCAATTATTAAAAGGATTTAAGATAAAAAAAAAAATTATATAATATTAGATAATAACTAATAATTTAAAAATCAAATTTATATACCATAGATTCAGAAAGACTTGTTAAAATATTAAATATTACTGGAGCTATGAAATTTTTTTTAATACTCATAAATTCGGGGTATTTCTGTACACAAACTTGAATATGATTTTTCTAATGTTTTAAAAAAAAAAATCCTAACATAACCATTTTACATCTTTCAAGTAGTGAAATTTTACGATTTTGAAATGCATCAATTAGTTTACCTATCACAGGTCGAAAGATAAAAAATCAGGCACAAATCAGGTACCCGATTTTAAACTGATTACTACCTGATTATCACCTGATTTATGCATATTTTTGTACCAAATTTTTGGTACAAAAATATGCATAAATCAGGTGGTAATCAGGTAGTAATCAGTTTAAAATCGGGTACCTGATTTGTGCCTGATTTTTTATCTTTCGACCTGTGTATAATAAAATTATTTGTTAAATAATATATAAAAATTAATCAACCTTTTAAATTATTAAAGTAACTAACCAAGAACAAATAAAAAAACAAATAGGCCATAATTTTTAGTATTAAAACAATTGTTCTCATTAGTAACTTGATTGAGAAACGAAGAACAAAAAAGTCAATAAGCAGCTCCATCATCCTGATGATCAACATTCTTAGCATCCTTTTTATATAAAACACTTTCTGGATTTTTTCCTAATTCCAAAATTTAGTCATATTGTGCTAAATATTTTTCCAAAGTTAATAGCCATGCTCAACTAAAATTAATATCTAAAATAATTTTAAAACAAATTTAACTAAAATAATTAATTATATTAAAGCTATTTAATATTTAATTTAATATACTGTATTATAAAGTCTATCTTCGAAAATTAATCTTTCTGGTGTTTCTATTTTCATAAGTTGATTTTGTGCATTGAATTCTGCTAAAGCTCTATCAGTACCAAATCCAAGAATTTTAAGTTGAAGATTTGCTGCAATATCAAGTAATTTTTTATACAATTTAAAAATACATGTTGCTGTTTCTTTTCCCTTATTTGCAATTATCACAATAACACAAGGTGGAAATTTTGAAATAGAAATCTATATAAATAAATAAAATATTTACAGTATTTACAGTATAAATTCTATTAACAAATATACCAGATACAGTAATATTTATCTGTAGTAAATAAACACAGACTTGAGAGACAATTGTATTACGAGATTTAATCATATCTACAATCTAATATATATCTTCATATGTAGAAACTCTAATTAATTCTGTTGAAAGTGTTGAACCAATAATGCAACCAAGAAGTAAAGAAAATTTAAGTTTTTCTTTAATTTTGGTATTATTTGCCATTGCAATAATCGAGCCAGTATATTTAATTGTATCTGCAAGTCTTTTAACTTGTGCTACATTTTCAAAGTATAACTCAGAATCATGAAGCGTATAAGGTGAATGTGTATGATATAATCTTAAAAAAAGAATAGAATTTTTGTTAAAATAAAAACTAAAAACTAACAAAATTACATATATTTTATACAAGTGATATCAAGAAAAAATAAGTCATATAAGTTTTATATGATTGGAGTTCCATTTTTCCTTGGTGTCACTCATACACAGCATATTTATATCTAATATTTTGAATAGTGTGTCTAGCTAAATTTTGTTGAAAAATATTATATGCTTGTGGACTAAGACTTGCAAGTATAACCACAAAATCAAAAAATTGATCTGAATATTTAAAATTTTGAAGCTCTTTTTTATGTTGTTCATGATCTGCAATTTGAACTATTATATGATATAAGCCTTTGAATACTTTTTTATTTTTAAAGCTACAATTTCTACCCATTTCTACAAACTTTGTCCAAAAAGAGGCTTCATTATTTGTACTGCTATTGTTTGCTAAATATAAAAGATCACCAACATCTTGATTAAGAATATATTTAGCAATCGAATTACTTTGAAGTTGAATCTTTGGCATAAACTTTTTTTTATAATTTGGCTTGTCTTTTTTTTTTTAAACTTTGACGATTTTGTCATTAACTTTATTACTTATTTAATTGAATATTATATATATTACATATATTTTTAACCTATCTAAGTAATCGTTATAACCTCACCTGGCTACCCTATATGGTGCCTAGATGCAACCGTCTGCACCATCTCATATGTGAGATGGACATTCTCAGACACCTTTATCAAAAAGCACCCTAAGTTCTGATTCAACTCAGAATCCTAATATTTTTACTAATTTATATATACCCCGCTATATATACTACTGTATAACATCTACTAGTTATAATCCACCCCTCATCACTTATTATATTACTCCTAATTCATTTTTTGTATAACTTCATCAGAAAATTTTTATATCGATATATAGCAAAAAATCGATATATATCGATAAGATAAAAACGGCATTTATTGATAATTTAGGATATATAACGATATATTACCAAAAATCGATATATACCGGTAATAGGTATATATCGATAAATATCTTATCATCGATATATATCGATTTTATTTATATCGAT